AATATAATATACTTGTTATAAATGTAGGTAAATATTGTTGATTGAGTAGATGAACGATCGTCTATAAATTGGAGTATAAAGGAAACAATATTATCAATTGCAGTGTCATAAAAGTAAATACAATCTCTCTCATATTATGTGATAATCTTATACATTTATAAATACAACAGAAACATATCTCCAGCAATTCAAAGAAAACTTGATTTCATATCTAAGCATATATGATTCGACTATGCCATAGAGACATTCTCCATCTGTACTTTCAAGCGTCAACTGGAGAAGATATCACCCAACAACCATAGCAAATCAGAAGTAGACAACTTTTTATTTCTTTCTTTAAGAACTTGTGGTCCAGGTTTGAAAACAATTTGCATTAGATGACAATATAGAAAGAACCTAGGATTAGATTAAGAAAAACTAATCCAGATACTCAATAACAACAACGTCAACGTGGTAGCAAAGAATATATATTTTAACTAAGTACCCTCAACCCCCGGGGCCTTTTGCCCAGACTCTCTGCGGTGGTGTAGAAATAAGAAAATGAAACTACACCCGAAGGACAAACATACACCTCTAAAAGAAACAAACCCTAAATCAGAAAATAAAAACAATATTTTGCATTGAATTTACTTGACTTGACCGATGAATTCAAAAACTGTTTGGGAGTTGGATTAAAGGCAATATATCTAAAATCTTACAGCAATAAATTTTACAGACAAAACCTCTTCAAAACCCAACAAAATCCATAAAGGAAATCATCCCTATTTCTTGTAGTTGGTGGATGGTGCAGAATGGTTGTTGGTTGTCTTGAATGGTCTTCGTCCTAAATTTAAAGCCAAGAAAAGGGAACACCACAAACAATTAATGCAGCAACACAAATTCTATGAAATTAATAAGACAAATGCTAGCAATAACTATAATTACTGATTAAACCAACCATAAAAAAAAGTATCAGATGATGATGGATGACGATGACCTAGGCAAAATGATGGCCTTGAGAGGGTTCTTCATAACAACAGTAAAAGCGAATGTCTCAGTCGGGTCGGGTGGGGCATCCGGAACCGGCAACCATTTGAAAGCCTGCACCATCCGAGCAAGCAGCAAGTTTACATGCAAAGTGCCCAAAGTCCACGCTGGGCATATCCGCCTGCCCGCCCCAAACGGTACCATCTTCACTCCTTTGGTCCCGGTGACGTCCACGTCAACCCCGTCGCCCTCCAAGAACCTCTCGGGTCGGAACTTACCCGGATCCTTCCACAGATCCGGATCCTCAGTGACCCATGCAGTGTAAAACTCCACACTTGCATCCGCCGGGACGGTGTACCCTCCGAGCTCCGTCTCCTTCACCGCCGCGTGCGACAGGACGAAGTGGCTCGGCGGGTGTCTCCGAAACGTTTCCTTAACCACCGCAGAAAGATAGCTCATTTTTTCAACGTCACTTTCAGTCACCTCCTCCTTCCCTACACAGTCAACAATCTCATTGTAAAGCTTTTGTTGGATTCCTTGGTTCATCACCAAATGGAGCAAAGCCCACTCCAGCGTCGTGGCGCTCGTATCCGTCCCGGCATTGATGACCTCCGAGCAAAGCGTGACAAGCTCTTCCTCTCCCAACCGTTGAGCTCTTCCAGGCACCACCAGCTCAAACAAGGAGTCAATATACGCAGCGCCCTTGGGGCTCATCATATTACCATCACTACTTTGATTAGCTTGAACAAATGTTTTTCTGTTTCTTATGAGTGGAACCAAACACGCCATTTGCCGCCTCCTCAGCTCCTTAGCTTCTCTCACCTGCCGGCCGAACAACGGAGTGAGGACTGGCAGGAAGTCCGGGAGCTTCGGTGTGGTCATCATCATAACTTCCTTTAAAACGGTCTCAATCGTTTTGATTTTCTCCTCGGAGATTTTAGCCCCGAAGCACAAGCATATGAGGATGCTGCAGATAGTGAGCCTGCAGTTGCTGATGACGTGGACAACGCCGCCGTTGCTGTCGGCAGCCGCCTCGGATTTGAGCCTGTCCATATGGGAGTGGATGGCCCAGTTTCGGATCCAACTGCACTGCCTAATCCTGGCCGGGCTGATCAACTCGGTGACGAAGTTTCGGCGCAAGGTGCGCCAGACAGGGCCGTACTCAGCGGAGTTGATGGCGCACTTGCCGACGCTGAAGATGAGGCGGATGGGGGAGTCAGCGGGGCGGCTTGCGAACTCGGGACCTCTCTGGACGAGGCCTTCGTGGATGAGATCAGAGCTGGTGACGATGATGAGAGTGCGTTGCCCCATTTGCATGCTGAAGATGGGACCATATTTTGCACGTAAATCACGGACTACATAGATGAAGGGCCGACGCTGGAGGATGACTTGGATCAGGTTTCCCACCACTGGCCACCCTGGCGGCCCTGGGGGCAGGTTCCTCCGTCCTCCCCCGGTGACCGACCAGTAGCGCCACCAGAGCCGGAGAAACACGAGCCCCAAACACAGGAACAAGAGGTCCATTATCATCTCCATAGATCACTACGTAGCTTAGCTGCTTAGCTATATATGCAATATATTTAACAAATAAAAAACAACAACATAATCAGCTCGACCAATAAATGTAATGACTTTAGACGACGTACATATCATCAAGTCTCATGCAACATGTGACACCCTTCACTTCTCACCCAAAACAACTCTATATATATATAGATCTAGAGAGCAACTTCTCAGTAGCCAAAAACATATAAAAACAAAAAACTCAAAGAAATAAATGAAATATAAACCTCCTGAAACGAAGAAAAGCGCTAAATGGAGCAACTGAGGAAAATAAATGAAGAGAAGAAGAATATCACAAGTTTGTAACACACAGCAAGAAAAAGCAAAAGCTGTAAAACACAGCGTCCTAAAATCAAAGAAAAGCTTATGACGCTTAAAGCAAAAACTACGAGAGAGAGAGATATATGAGCTTGAAGTTGCAGTCTAGATACCTTTGGCGCAGCGCAGGAGCTCAATTTTGGAGCACGTACACACTCTCTCTCCTGTTAAAAGCAGGTTTATTTTCTCCCTTCTTTGTGAATCAAGACCATAGAAGACTAGTTAGCAGTCCATCTCATAATATCTAGGATTTGTATGGTTTGTTGGAGATCATAAATGGAGTTTCACCTACTCATTTTACGCCACCTGCTGCTGGCATCAGCTGGTCAATCTCCTCCTCGTGTTCTTCTGCGATTGCGTCCTCCCTTTTCTGACAGCAATGAATTCCATTGGTTGGGCTGGTGAAAGTGTCATTACTTAGGGCATCCCCAAATGGGGCTCTAAAATGGTGGATAAAGTCTTATTTAGAGCTCATATGAAATATTCCGTACTCTAAAGGTATTTTTTTTCATAATGAAGGCTCTATACTTGGATCCTATATTTAAATATTTATGATGTATTTTGATTTATGCTTGTTTTTAAACTTATATTATGTTCATGTATTTTATGCGATGTTAGTTGTTGTTTTTTTTTTTTCATTTATTATCATTTTAACAACAAAATAATCAAATTTATATGAGATTCCGGAACAACAAATACATATCATTAAGACTTTAATTTGTTTGGTAATTGCATAAATTAGAGATCATTATTATTTTATTATACTCTGGCTTGTGAACTAGTTCCTATATCAGGAGATAAATGTCAGTTTCAGTCAAACAATATGGGTAGAATATTTTCAGATATATTTCATTCTCCGAAATGAGGTATTTATAATACAAGGTTACAAACCCTAGTAGGGTTCAATTAGGAAATAAGTGGAATCCTAATTACATAATATCTATACAAAAGGAAAAAATAAATAAAACTCTAATAGAATAGGATATACTCGCCAACACTCCCCCTCAAGTTGGAGCAAAGACGTCACACATGTCCAACTTGTCAAGCGGGTTGCGAAAGATACTTGTAGAAACAGCTTTCGTAAGAACATCGGCTAACTGATACTCTGAGCGGATGAACGGAAAGGAAACAATCTCCGCATCCAACTTTTCTTTAATGAAATTTCGATCAACCTCCACATGCTTTGTACGATCATGTTGTACCGGGTTATGAGCAATTGCAATCGCAGCCGTATTGTCACAATATAAATCCATGGGTTTCTTAGGCCCAAAACCAAGGTCTCTCAATAATCTCCTCAACCATAGTAACTCAGATACACCATGAGCCATTCCCCGATACTCGGCCTCAGCACTAGATCGAGACACCACCTTTTGTTTCTTACTCCTCCACGTAACAAGATTGGCACCAACAAATATAAAATACCCAGATGTCGAGCGCCTATCTGTAACTGAACCTGCCCAATCAGCATTTGTGTACCCTTCCACATCTGTATGACCTTACTTGGACAAGATCCGTTCTATAGTAATTGTACCTCTGTATCCTTGATTTCTAAGGAGACAGGAATCCCAACCTGGCTCTGATACCAAGTCAAACAATATGGGCAGAATATTTTCTGATATATTTCATTCTCCGAAAGGAGGTATTTATAATACAAGGTTACAAACCCTAGTAGGGTTTAATTAGGAAATAAGTGGAATCCTAATTACATAATATTTATACAATAGGAAAAAATAAATAAAACCCTAATAGAATAGGATATACTCGCCAACAATTTCATGCTCACATTACATTAATGTGAAATCGGTTAGTTCGAAAGATTCACTCTTCATATCAATTCCAATGCTAATGCTCTGGTTTTGGGATAGGTGGTGATGTCTTGTTTATCTTCTTTTTATTTTCTTCGCCAAATTTAGGAAGGAAATGGCTTTTCTCACACACTACTAATGTGTCGTTTATCAGTTTGGAAAAAATTTCAATAATTTTTCATATTTGATATAAAAATCGAAGATGGGTTGCATAACTGCAGATCCATGGGCCCATTTGGTTGTTGGGTTTGTGTCAAAACCCAAACTTTGGCGGGTCATGCCTCTTGGCCAATTGGAGAACCCGCCACCTTGCTCTCTAACATCAACCGTTGATTTTCTATGAACAAAAATGAGAACCGCAAAGTCACCGTCCGCTTAGACAAAATGAGATAATGCGATGACAATCAAAATAGTCAAACACATTTCACTTCCACTCCTTCGCCCACTCTCTCACTTTACCGGTCTCTCCCGCCTCTGCCTCCGCCGTTCGATGGCCACCGCCACGTCATCCGACTCCACCGTGACCCCATCAAACACCCGGGTCGGGTGGATCGGCACCGGCGTTATGGGCCGGTCCATGTGCACCCACCTCCTCAAAGCCGGCTACTCCCTCACTGTCTTCAACCGCACCCTCTCCAAGGCCCAGCCCCTCGTCGACCTCGGAGCCCACCTGGCCCACTCCCCCAACGCTGTCGCCTCCCAATCCGACGTCGTCTTCTCCATCGTCGGCTACCCCTCCGACGTCCGCTCCGTCCTCCTGGACCCCACCACCGGGGCCCTCTCGGGCCTCCGACCCGCTGGCATCCTCGTGGACATGACCACATCCGAACCCTCCCTCGCCATCGAGATTTCCTCGGCCGCCGCCGCCAAATCCTGCTTCTCAGTCGACGCTCCCGTCACTGGCGGTGACGTCGGGGCCAAAAGCGGAACTCTCTCGCCGGCGGGGATGAAAACGTCGTCCTCAAGCTGACACCTTTATTTGCTCTCATGGGTAAAGTTAATTACATGGGTGGCAGTGGAAAAGGGCAGTTCGCGAAACTATCGAACCAGATAGTCATAGCTTCAACCATGGTGGGTCTGGTGGAAGGCATGGTCTTTGCTCACAAGGCTGGTCTCGATGTGGGTCTGTTCTTAAATGCGATCAAAGTGGGTGCGGCTGGTTCAAAGTCGCTGGATTTGTATGGAGGTAGGATTTTGAAGAGGGATTTCGAGCCGGGATTCTATGTGAACCACTTTGTGAAGGACTTAGGCATTTGCTTGAAGGAATGCCAGAACATGGGTTTGGCTTTGCCTGGATTGGCTCTGGCTCAGCAGCTTTACTTGTCGTTGAAGGCTCATGGGGAAGGCAATTTGGGTACCCAGGCGCTTATTGTGGCTCTGGAGCGCCTTAATAATGTTTCACTTGAATCTGCCCCTGCAAAATAAAGACTCTCTGCGAGCATTGTTGTATCAATTCTATGGAGGCAAAGGCAATCAATGTGAGTTGGTGTGGGGTTGAATCTTCACCAATTCTTATGTTGTGTCAAATTTGTGGGTTTTACTGACAGAGAAAGTTTAAGAAAAATAAAAGCTTTTAGATGTTAGTATGTTTGGTTCATAAAGTATCAACTCCAGCAATGTGAAAGTAGCCCAGCTATTGATTTCTGAAGGCAAAATGTTGCATATTCATTTTTATCTTCTAAACTGACTTTTAGATGTTCTCATTATGTTCTAATTGACTTCTTCCCTCCTCCATTTCTCTGTTAGGCACTAATGGATTCCGTTGCTTCAACTATCAGCTAGTCTGATCAGTGAAAACAGAGTCAAAGGCCAAATATGTAGATATTAAGCATTTAGCTGAATTACTATAGACTATACAGGACCTAGATTTGACATGGATCATACATGTTGAGAAATGGATAATTAAGAAACTAAACTGTGTTGGCTGAGTTTGTCACTTTCTGTATGATTCATTTTCTTCTCTTGGTTACGGGGTTGGTTGTTTTTGTTGGTTTTAGAATTGCTCTCTTTTGTGGAAGAAATTTGTTTTTTTTTCTCTCTTTTTGGGTATGGTGGGTTTTTCATCATTCTTCTTTTCAATACTCATTTTGGATTATGGCTGTGTTTATTTGCTAAACTGAGTAAAATCTAATTGAAAATTGTTGTTCATCAATGGTGAAATGCAAGGATTGGAATGAAGGGATTAACCTTCAAAATGAAACTATTTGTTTGGTTTGTTTTTGCAGAACTTTTTTACAACGCGCAAGTAGAATTTGAAATTGGTAAAGAAGAGTGCTCTTCTAGTGGGATTCTAGGTGATTAACATGTCCTCAAAGCAAGTCATAAATAGAAAAACGTTGTACAGTCCTGCTTTTGCCCTAGCAGTAGCCATGTCGAATTCGAATGGTTTAGTCGCATGGCATGTCACACGGGACTTTGGCATGTCCTAAAAAACGAATGAGTGATGGCCTTAACTTAATTAGCACAAGAGTATAGTTTTCTTCAGACTTAGACTGAGAATTATACTGAAAGATAATTAATACGTACATTCAGTTATTTCAAAAGCCAAAAAATACCAATTATGTATGAAAAAAAGAGAGAGAAAAACAGAGACCAGAAAAGATGACAATTGCAATTGCTATAACTGATGGTAATCAAAACAAGAAAATACTGAAGTAAACAAATTCTCCCCCCTAGGTGTTACTTGTTATCCAGGCTTTCAACCATAGCCGTTCTCGTATGTGTTTAGTAAAACAAAGTAGTGTTTGATAAGTTGAATATATTTGCGTAGAATGACTATAATCGACTACATAGGTGGAAGGTTGAAGATGGAACTTGGGTATGATTAATAGATATGGATGTAGTTACATATCCTTGGAATTAAGATTGACGGGAAAGCTTAGCTACTGGGGTCTGTTGAAGAATACCAATTATGTATGAAAATTACAAAAGGAAGAATCAGAAAATATGGAAATTGCAATTGCTTTAATTGATAGTAATAAATTCAGAACAATGAAATTACAAAGGAAACAGATTCTCCCTCCCTGGGTGTTACATGTTATCGAAGCTTTTAATCATAGCAGCTCGTATGTTTTGGATGAAGGATCGATATGCCCTAACTTCACCCTTTCAGGGTATACTTCTTCCCTGTGAATGCTTGCAACTTTGGCTCTTCTGACTTGTGAGGGGGCTCTTGCCTGCTGCTGTTGTTTGGGGCAACTTTTGGGGTTGCATTCGTGGGCCGGTTGACATTTGAACCAAACACAAGCTTTCCAGAAAGTTGAACTGAAGCAGAAGCTGATGACTTAGAACCCTTTTTGTTGGTTCTATTTTCACTCTCCAGTTGGCGCTGCTTGAGTTCAGGAGGAGAAGGAACTGCATGTGCAACGGATTGTGTCAAGACCGGTTCTCCATCCAATCGTCTGGCTGAACCAGTAAAGGGACTGAACTTCGCTATCTTTTCAGGTGTCTCTTGTTCGTCTTCATCAGCTTCTTGTGGTCTCTTTATTGGCAGAGTGGATGGTGCTGGCTTCTTTTCAGGCTCCACATAATCAAGAGGAGGGGCAAAATCAACCTCGCAGTCGGTATCAACTATACAGATTGCAGAGGAGGGCTTTGTTTCAATTATGTTGATGTAATACTTCTTACTGTTATAAGGAAGCATGATTGTGTCACCGATGGTTAAACAAGAGTAGCTCCTCAACGCAGTCTCCAGAGCGGCTTTAGGGTTTGAGATATCAAGAAAGTCCTTGGTGTGAGGTTGCAGTTTGACATATGTTCCCTTCCGAAGGCTTTGGCTTTTGACATGAACAAGGTTACCCTCTTGTAAAAGCAGGTTGTGCATCATCCAAGATGGTAAAAATACAAAGCCCTCATCAGCAACAAATTCCAAGACCCCGCAATGAGTAACTCGTCCAGATTCAGAATTGGGATTGTTGAGCTGAAACAGCATAGGGTAGGCCACCTGTGGACCCCAAACAAGGCGATGGAGAGCCGACGGCGGCATTATAATTTTATCACCGTTTTCCGCATGTGGCTTGCCAATTGAGGAGACAGAGTAACAACGATAAAACTGCTCAAAGTCCATCTACACCAAGTTTGCTTGCACTGTCAAAAAAGAAGAAGAAGATTAGTGATATTGATGGATCGTCTTTGATTGAGGTAACTCTAATGGGTTTCTTTTATTGTTATGCCAAGTGTGAGAACAAGTGGACTTATATTTATAAACAATTCAGACCAAAATCCTATCCTTTCAGAATAAGGAAATCCTAATCTCACTGGGACAAAACAGAAATTGAAAATAAAATACATAGAACGAAACTAAAAACGAATCCTAATCTCATTAAACTCGCATGTAACCATAGCCGTTCATAATCCTTTACTTTTTAGCCAAGCATTGGATTATAGCCGTTCATAATCCTCGAAGATTTTGCCCAATCTGATAAGTAGCTATCTCAACGGTGTGATACTAATTGATGCATAAGGAAATCCTTTTTGTTTCGGTGTGAAAACAAGTGCCCTTTTCTATATTTTATAATTTATAGAGATTTCTAGTCTTTTTTGTTTCGGTCTGACCAAATATAGTTCTTTAAGCATAAGGAAATCCAATTTGTGTTAAGGGATTCTGTATTTTTATTTTAACTCAATAAAAACAAAGTAAGAGTCAACGGGGTCTAATCCAGTTAAAAAAGGCATTCATTTGCTAACTAGTTGTCTTAGGTTCAAACTCTTATGACACCTTGGTACGTAGTATGTGTGTGTGTGTGTGAGAAACCTCCTCCCCCTTGTAGCTAGGGCTAGTCAATGGGCCAGGCCAACTTGGTCCAAAATATATTGGGCTTGGGCCAAGCCGGGCTGGGCTTTAATTAAGAGAGAAAATAATGAATCAGGCCGAACTAGGCTTAGACTATCGCTTATATTTAAAAACAAAAACAAAAACAAAGTAGGAACTGAGGGGCCTAAGCAATCAAATCAATCAGGCCCAAACTAATTTGGTGGGCTTCCTCTAGGTGAGTGGTGGTGAGTGGTGACTTTTTTGAGTCAACAAACTTCATACAATATGAAAATAATTTTTCTGAATTCTTTTGGGGTAAAGTTTGCACCTGCACGTGCGAACGTATTAATATCTAAAGAAATTTGTGATTTTATTAAGTTATCAGCAAGGTCCTTGACGCTTGGTTTTGACTCAAAAGCTCACAAGTGATACACGTGAAGTTTGAGTAGAAGAAGAGGGGCAAACAAAAAACTTGCATTTCTTTTTTCCAGCATCTTGGTCCAAGTTGGTTGTTGGCCCTGCACTGCATCTGGATGCATGCTGCTTTTCACTATCAGCTTCTCGAAATAATGCAGTCCATATATTTGACAGACTACAAATCTATTTCCACCAAAACCCATTGATTTGATGTCGTCACTCAACTTTTCTCCAAAGTTCAAAGCCCACATGAATTGAAATTTTGTGCGTCTTCTGGAACTGGAAGAAACAAACGTGAGTGTGTTAGGACAGCAACCCACCCACCTCCTAGGTCCTTGCTTGTTTTCCAATTAATGCCATTTCGTCAAACCTCTGCAACTTTTCTTGTGGAATGTTATTTTTCATTTTTCTCCACTAGCTAAGCACTGATAAGCACTGATGAGCACAATCCTCCACTAATTGACCCAGCATTGACGGCACCTTTTTCCAGGTCAACCATTGACCCAGCAAATGATTTTGAAGTCTCCATCAGAGTGTTTTTCGACATCCTTAAAGGAAATGAACATCCTCTAATTAACTTGTCCTCAAAACCAGTGTTCAAACCGCGGGAACAGACCAACTTCTGAACCTCCATCACAAAATGACTAAACTCACCCAAACATCTTCTCTCCACACCCATCTCTGCTCCCTTCTCTTCCTCCCCCTCCTCCTCATCAACCATGCCAACTCTCAGTCATTGCAAGACCAAGAACAAGCTGTCCTGCTAAAACTGAAGTCATACTTGCAATCTCCACCGTTCCTCAGCCATTGGATTCCATCAACATCAAACACTTCCCACTGTTCCTGGCCTGAGATCACCTGCACAAACAACTCCGTCACCGGATTGTCTCTGGTCAACAAGAACATCACCCTACCAGTTCCACCTTTCATTTGTGATCTCAAGAATCTCACACTCATTGATCTTAACCTCAACTATCTCCCTGGAGAGTTCCCAAAAGCTCTCTACAACTGTTCAAATCTACAGTACTTGAACCTCTCTCAAAACTCATTTGTTGGCAAGATTCCTGATGATATCGACAGCTTGCCTCGGCTTCAATACCTTGAGCTTGCCGGTAACTACTTTTCTGGTGACATACCCGCGGCTATTGGGCGGTTACAAGAGCTCAGGAACCTGCAGCTGCATATGAACAGCTTTAATGGTTCCGTGCCACCAGAAATAGGTAACTTGTCCAATCTTAAACACCTAAATCTCTCTTACAATACAAATCTTGTGCCATGGAATCTGCCTTCCAACTTCACCAAGTTGAAAAACTTGAAGAATTTATATATACGCCAATCGAATTTGACTGGAGAACTCCCCGGAACACTTGGAGAAATGGCAGCACTGGAAGAATTGGATTTGGCATACAACAGTTTAAATGGGACAATCCCAAGTGGTTTGTTTCTGTTGAAGAATTTGAGTATAATCTATCTCTTCAGGAACAGCCTGTCTGGGGATGTACCTCAAGTGGTTGAAGCATTGAACTTGAGTATTATTGATATTTCTGAAAACGATTTAACAGGGCCAATACCAGAAGATTATGGAAACCTCACCAAGTTAACAGAGTTAGCTTTGTTTTTAAATGGTTTTTCTGGTGCGGTTCCAGCAAGCATTGGCCGTCTACCAAATCTCAAACAGTTCAGAGTGTTCATCAATAATTTGTCTGGAACATTGCCTCCAGACTTTGGAAGGTATTCAGAGCTTGAAGGGTTTGAGGTTTCGGGGAATAGGCTCACTGGCAAACTGCCAGACCATTTGTGCAATTGGGGTAAGCTGTCAACACTTGTAGCTTATGAGAACAATCTCACTGGGGAGTTACCAAGCTCTCTTGGAAATTGCACTAGTTTAACAGAAGTGAAGGTTTATGATAATGGATTGTCTGGGAACATTCCTAGTGGCATGTGGACAGCACCAAACTTGGGTCAGGTGCTGATGAGCAACAACTCTCTTACCGGTGAGCTTCCTGAGAAAATATCTCGGAATCTTACACGGCTGGAAATCAGAGATAACAGACTTTCAGGTAACATTCCAACCGGGGTGTCATCCTGGAACTTGAAGGTTTTTGACGCCGGTAATAACCTTTTTAACGGTACTATCCCTCAGGAACTTACTGCTCTTCCTAGCTTAATCACTCTTTCTCTTGATCAGAATCAGCTTACTGGCTTCCTTCCATCAGAGATTATATCATGGAAATCACTCAACACTCTTAATTTCAGTCGAAATCAACTCTCTGGACCAATTCCAGAGAAACTTGGTCTTCTACCAGTCCTTACTGAACTGGACCTTTCAGAAAACCAACTTTCTGGCCAAATTCCAGCTCTGCTTGGGCGTCTGAATCTCAACCGTTTCAATCTCTCTTCCAATCACCTATCTGGGAAGATCCCAATTAAATTTGAGAATCCTGTTTATGTCAAAAGCTTCTTGGACAATCGAGATCTCTGTGCAACTAGCCCATTAGCAAAACTCAAGATATGCAAGTCCAGCAAAATTTTGATCTTAACTTTCAGCATACTTTTGTCCTTTTTGGCTTTGTCCTTATCATTCTTCATGGTCAGAGCTTATTGGAAGAGAAAC